CTTGTCTAGTTATTATCACTCCCAGGATGCTTCCTGAGCCATCATGGAGAGCACTAGCTGGGCCTTCCCAAGAGTCAAGTTGTGCCAGTTCATGTGCCTTCCATTTAATTTGCAGCAAGTCTCTGATTGATGACAGTATTTAAGTTATCCATAATGAGGGATGACTTGTTTTTATTTCCAATTTATCATGGATTGATCTTTTTGTGTTTTTTAATAAAATAAAATAAAAATTTATTGCTGGAGAAATGGGAAATAAAACCAAAACATACAAAATACAAGCCTCAATTTTTCTTGTTAAATTCAAGACATGAAATTACTCTGCCAGTGTGCTACAGAAATTTCTAAATGCTTATTCTCAATTATGGATGGAACTGGAGAGCAATATGGTAAGTGAAATAAGCCAGGCGGTGGAAGAGAAATACCATATAATCTCACCTGTAAGTGGAACCTAATCAACAAAACAAACAAGCACACAAGAACCAGAGACATGGAAATAAAGAACAAACTGACAGTGACCAGAGGGGAGGAGGGAAGGGGAGAACAGGGGGAAGAAGGGGAAGGGACTAGTCAAGGAACATGTATAAAGGACCTATGGACAAGGACAACAGGGGGAAGGGTTAAATGTGAGGGGGTTGGGCATGGTAGAGGAGAGTAATGGGGGAAAAAGGTGATAACAGTAATTAAACAACAATAGAAAATTTAAAAAAATTCTTTGTTATTTGGTAAATATGTCATGTTATAATTTGTAAATTTGGTGGGGGGAAATGGACACCACTGTACTTGAACAATAATAAACAAAAAAAGATATGTTAAAATTCAAAAAAATGTACAGTGTTACTTTGATAAATTTATATGTTGTAATATGATTGTCATTGAAGCAATATTTTTCAATTTTGGTACTTTGTCCAGGAATGGACTGATAGCAAAAGATCTCTGGACCCACATTATCATCCACACTTCAAGTAGCATGTTTAACCTCTTGCTTTGAGTCCCTAGCCACATATTTTTGGAAAGTGTTTGTATTTGGAGACCTTACTTATGTTCCTACTGTATGTGTTTATGTGTGTATGCATGGGGTGGTGGTGATTTTCTCTCTCCTCCTTACCTCTTTTTAAACCCATTACTTCCATTTAAGTGGAACCTCTAGCAACATTTTCCAACAGCACGGCACCACAAAATTCTTTGGGAATGCTAAGAGCCTGTCACATGCTGGACACCTAGTTGCTCATGACTGAACATGGCATTCTCTGTTAGAACAGAGCTTTCTGTTTTTAAATCCAAAGGGATGTCACTAGAACATTTCTGACAGTATAATTTGCCCAAAGATTTTATGTGCATAACAGATGTGGACAACTGTCTTATTCAACATTGCACCCCTAGTGTGCCAGTTATTAAACTTCTGTCTCTCAATGTCCAACACCCTTCTGCCCTCCACATTGTGATGCTGGGACTTTGTGAACCATTTCTCTCCTTTGCCAGCTGGCTCCATGTTATTCTCTGCCAGGAGGGGGCACTTGGGGCAGGGAGGAGGCTGGGAGGCTGAAGAAAGAAGAAGGGCTTTGTAGGGTACGTGGAGGAGGTCTGGCTCCCTCACCCAGATGCATGCATAACCAGGGGGAGCAGCTCCTCACAACCTTGAAGGAGTCTGATAAAGCAGTGTTCCCACAGCCGTGAGCCCGGGTCTCACAGCCTTGAGCCTGGGTGTGATAAACTGCTCTGTAGCCTTGAGTAGGCTCGCATGTGCAGCTCATGATAGTTACTTCCCTTTCTAGCCTGTAGCCTGCTTTGTTTAGGGCTAGTATTTAAGGGATAGGAGCTTTGGATGGGGTGGGGAGTCGGGGCACTGACTGGGACATGGGCTTTGTGGCCTGTGTGACTCCCTCCACATGGGCTCGTGGCCTGTGTGGAGCACGGACATGGGCTTTATAGCCTGTGTGATTTCCCTGGACCTGGGCCTTTGCCTGTGTGACTCTCCTGAATAAAGACACATCAAGTATCCCCAAGGCTCCACGCATCTTCTTCCATCTACCTCAGCCCCAAGCGGACCTGTCCAGCCTAGAGAGGCTGCCACACAGGCTTGCTCTCTCCTGTTTGTGCCCTGTGAGATTTCTGTTCTATTCTTAGGTGCTTGCGGTTCTTGTGACTATCCCCCCAGCATCATTTCCTCACCTCAGTGACAGCAGTGTTTTCCTATAGCAGTAGCTACATTCACTTAGGAACTTTTCCCATCTTTGCAAAAAAAGCCCACTTTGCACCCTGGGAGATAGCAGCTAGCCAGGGCCTCTTCCTCAGAGGTCTGCATAGTTTCAGTTCTGCCAAGCCCTTTGCTCAAGCATCTAAGTTTTAATAATTCCAATGCCATCTTTCTGTTCTCTCAGCCCTAAGGGTTCTAGCAGCTTATTGAAGCTGCTACCTTTATGGCATCTCGGTATTCTCTTCTTGCCTTTTCAGTTACCTGGTTAACAACTTTATTGCTACCTAACAATTCCTTATGTGAACTGCTATGTTTTCTGTCTTCTGATTGAATCTGGACTAAAATATAGCAAAGAACAGAGGCCAGGACTTTTGGCTTGTAAATTTTGTGTGCTTTGATTATGTCCAGCCCTGCTTATATGCCTTAGAGCTTGAGCTACATTTGATACTACAAAAGGTGATAAAATAGAATGAAACTGGTTTTGACACCCTGAACCTGTCCAAGTCAGTATACTTGTTGAGTTGATGGCTATTTTCACAGATTACACTGTTTCCCTTATTTTATTTCCCCCTTTCCATTTCCTACCATCCATGCACAGAACTTTTTTCCTCTTCCTAAACTGAAACTGTTAATTTGCTATTTCTCCCATCTCCCAGTCCCTGACAACCACCATTCTGCTTTCTATATCTATGAATTTGATTACTCTAGGTACCTCATATAAGTGAAATCACTCATTATTTGTGCTTTTTTACTGGCTATTTTGCTTAGCATAATGTCTTGAAGGTTCATCCATGCTGTAGCATGTTTAAGGATTTTCTTCCTTTTTAAAGCTGAATAATATTATGTTGCATGTCTACACCGCATTTTGTTTATCCATTCATCTATCTGCCCAGGGGCAGTTGTGTTTCTTCCACCTTTGGCTGTTGTGAATACTCCTGTTGTAAACATGGGTATAAGAGCCATTTTTAAAGCCAGCTGCCATGGTGGGCAACTGGAGTTTGATGCCATATGGTATGGATACTCTGTGGATTGTGTATTTTATAGCAACTTCTATCTGTCCTAGGTTGCGGATTGCTTGGGAGGTATGAATTGCTGGTAAGTATGGCCTTCTTAATCAGGAGTGGGCAGAACAATCTTTTGTTGTTCCAGCAAAAGCCTGCAGGTAGGGGAATGCTGACACTGGCAGCCAGAAGCCAGTGGAGGAAATGGTAATGTCCTAGGGATGTTTATGGAGCACTGAGAACACCCAGGCTCAGGGACCTACCACGTAAATCTTAATCACCCCTCCCACTGGTTTTAGTTCCAAGTTTTTTCTCTAATCCATCTTAACACACAACTTCTCAAATTTTCTTCCTAATTCCAGTCTCTCCTTTCCATGCTATCTGCCACAATGGTGCCAAAGGCACGTTTTTCTGACACACAGATTTAAGTGTGCTAATCCTCTCCTTGGAAATCTTCTCTGAGTATGCATGGTCTGTAGAATTTGGTAGTCAGTCACTTTATTAATCATTCACTCAGGAAACATATCATCCTCTTCATCATTAGGTTCAGCTCTACCTCTCTCCACCTTCTCACATACACTGTGACACACTGTAGTCTTTCACCACCTTGAACTTTTGCTCAAGCTCTTACCTAGGCTCTCAATACTCTATCTACATGGCAAGTTTCAATGCATGATTGAGGCTCTCAGCTCAAATATATCTGCTCTATGATGTTTTCTGTAATCTCTCCCAAGGCAGGACTAATTTTTCATCCTGTTCACTGGGTGGTTATGCATTCTCCATAATGGTTATTATATTGTTTTAATTATTATCACATCTGTCTCTTTTCCTGGATTTTGGGCTGTATCAGGTACTTCTGTGTCTCCCACTCCATGTACCTTTATCAATAAATGTTTCTTAGGTGGATAAGTGATTAGTTAACTCATCAAGAAGGCAATGAAAAGCTAGTGAACTTCAGGATCCTGTCAGTCATTCTAATAGTTGGCTTTCTACCCATATGAATGATGTTAGAGTGAAATAAGTTGGAGAAATAAAAGTTCTTTCAAAATAATAGTGTGGGCCAAACATCGATTTTCACTGCTAGTGTTAACTTACAACATCCAATAGGAAATTGGAGTATATGTCTGTATATAGGGTATGAAAGCATTTTGAACAGCTGGGGCCAACACCAATATGAATATGCAGGAGGTTGTGGTATCGCTTGTGCATTTTCAGGGAAAATTAACTATCCATAGTGCTATTATCAGGTATAAGGATGCACATCACATGTTAATAGATGGCTTCTATATTGTATGTACACACTTTGTTTTTATTATTTTTTGAGTGATAGCCCAGAAGGTAATATTTCTTGTTTTCAGGTAAAAACCTGAAAATACTTAAAGTTTCTCAATATGCAGGCAAGAGATGTGAACTGTGGTTCTCCCTGGAGGCAGGGCTCCTACTGTGGGTCTGGAGATTAGTGGCCATAAACTGCCCATGCATGTGACCATCCAGGGAAGGACAGTGCCCAGGAAGGAAAGAAGGATTTTAGTTTGTGGTTGGAACAGGGCACTTAAATGTGCCCAGCAACAACAGTGAATGGGTATTCAGTGATGTGGATAGTCACTGATACTTGTGTGATATTTTTGGCAGTGTGTCAACAGAAAGGAGGAAAAGTCCATGTTTGTGATTGGATAAGAGAATTTTGCAATGAGCTACAACAAAAGAGACATTCAGAGCAGCTTAAAGAATTGGGCTTTAAGGTGGGTGGGGTGGAAGAGGTTATAAGGAGGATAAATGGTCATGGAAAAAATACAATAAAAATATGCTATTAAAAAAAAGAATTGGGCTTTATTGAAGCAGACTGTAGACACTGATTACAGCAAAACATTTTTTGGCAAACTCAGACCTCCCAAGACCCAAAGACTTCTCCAAGTTCTCACTGTTAGTAAGGTTAATTGGACAGGCAGAGTAGGGGCACACCTTGGCTGCCCCTCAGGGAATAGGAGAGCAGAGCAGGGATGAGCATGGATGTTCCTGCTCAAACTTGGAAAGATGGAGAAGGGAAGCACTTCATCCTTGTTGGCAGAGACATCCCTGATAGGGTATACCCTATCCTGAGCCCTCTGTCTTTGTCAAAATACAAAATGTTGTTTATGAAGAATCAGAGAGGAGGCAGCCAGTCGTGGCAGTGCACAGGGACCCAGGTGTCTTCTCTGATTCTCATGCAGATAGGAGGTTGAATAATGCCGATGTGCAAGCCAGTTTTTAAATGTGTAGGTGGGAGGGGGAAAGGCCCTAAGGACAACTGTGTTTGTACAAAATGTTCAGAGTAAATAGCACATCAGATACAAAAACAAATTATTAGGTGGCATTTAAGTTAATCATCTTTTCCTAGTGGGATCCCTGTCTGATCCAGTGGCTTTAGATCTAGGGAAGCCCATGGTGGAGCAGAAGAGACTTTAAGCAGGAAGGGAGCTCCCCGTGTGAGTACTGGGAGAGAGAGCTAGAAAGAGACTCTATCAAGGGGATAGAGAAGAAGCCATATCCCAAGAGGGCTCTGTCTTAACCCAGGTTTTAGGAGAACTGAGAAGGATTAGGGCAGACAGGTGGGGGCATGGGCAGAGAGGGACTGGATACCACAAATCGCCACTGGATCTTGTCTTCTACTTCTTGCAGAAAAGACTGTGACACATATTCATAACAAACTACACAACTATTCTCTCTTTCCTTGGAGAGTGGAATAAAAGCCAGTTTCATTGCTCATTACCCCAGCCGCATCCCAGGAAGCATAGATCCTGGCAATTAAAGACTTCTCCTCAAGCCCTTTTTTCTTTCTGTTGAATTCTAGACGGCTTGGTTATGAAGCCCGTTAGTATGAACTGTTGAGAGCTAAATTGTTCTGGCCAACTAAAGAATTCAACGTCCCTTTGTCAAACCATGAGATACAAGGTGAGTACCACAGAGATATCATGAGTGATGGTTTGAGCCTGGGTTATATAAGATGAAATACCAGTCGAAGTTTCTCTGGGGTAATATTAAGAATGAAATACTTAATGTTTAACTGGGATTTATTTACATTGATGTAATAAAGACTCTACTCCCACTTCCATCAGCTTGCTTCAAATTAAACATTTGATAAACTCGAGACTGGTGAGTTCTGTTTCTTTGGTGTGAAATAAGCAGAACTTTATGGGGATGAGAGACATAATATGAAAAGAAACATGGACCCAGAGATAGAGATAACTAGGATGTAAAATGGGAGTATCTTGGGGTGACTGTGTTGTTTGCAGGGTTTGGAAGTGGATGATTCAAATTAACCTTAATCTAGCTCTAAAAGGGAGAGCGGGACTGGATCACATAAGACATTTTGATGAGGTGGCGAGAGCAGAAGCCAGATATGAGTCCACTACTGAATACATCAGAGGCAAGAAAATAGCAACAGTATTGTATGATAATTCTTCTAAATCATGGAAGTTATACAAAATGCAATTTAGTTGGCAAAATATCCTGCAGATCTTGCGTTCATTACATTGTACTTAAAGTGTCAGGACACAGCGGATACTGGAAAAAAAAAAAGGAAAGAAAAGAAAAGTAAGCTGAAACATTTCCAAAGCAACATTTGTGTTTTGGATTTCAAATTTTTACTTTGTAAGTAAGTGGGCAGTAAGTAAGTTAGATTCCTTTGTTTTCATATTATTTGAAAAGTGGGCAGATTAAATCAGTTCTGAGATTTTTCAAAATGACACAAGGTTCCAAGGGTAAGGAATACGTAAGCAGGCTTGTATCCTTGTGGGCAGTGCCACTGTCCAACTTATGACTGGTGCTCAGGTTGTGGGCCAAATAAAGGTGTCAGAATTTGGGATTCTAGGGAAAGTTCCCTCTTTGAGATAGAATAACAACAATGGCCTTTTTATAAACTATGAACTTAAACTTGACGCCAAAATTTTATGAGCTAACTTCATTAGTTAGTGAATCATATAAAAATGCCAAATTGGAAATGTAATACTGAAGGTAGGGGTAGATGAGCACTTAAATATTTTCAGGATTACGTTTTCTATAAACAGGGAATAAAAGAAAGAGGGGAAGAAGGTGCTTTTCAGATTCCTGAAACTTCTTAGTTGTCTGTCTGCGGCTTCTCCAACCATGATGTCCCCTTCCCCTGCTGGCCCTGACTCCCACAAACTCTTTCTCTTCATTCTGCTCAGACATAAAAATTATTGGAGGAACTTGCCATTTTCCGGTTTTCATAAATTCAACTGCTTCATTGATTTTATCAAGGTTAAGAGTATGCGTAATTAGTGTATCTAGATTAAACTTCTTTGTCATATATTTGGAAACCAGTTTAGAGATGCTCTCCTTGCTTTTCCAGCCTGGAAATAGAACAGATTAACAACAGATTTTATTCATGAGACTCACTCTACAAGAAAGCCATGCAGGTTAACTGCCGGAAGTGTTGCCTTTGAGGACATCTCTCAGACTTTGGGAGAATGCCTGTCCCAGCCGTATACCTTGTAAACAAGGCAGTTCTCCTGACAGCCTTGAGACTTCTGGTACTGCAGAGAATTTACTTAAAATAAGTGGACTGTCAACCTTTTCTTTAGTTTTCTTGGTGTCAGGTTGTGCTGTCTGGGGATCTGTAAACCTATATTTAATGTATAACAAAGTTCCAAGACTTGGGAACCATGAAAGGAAGCAATTCAAAGGTTAGAAATTAGGCATTTCGTGTGCATGCGTGTGTGTGTGTGTGTGTGTGTGGCCTGCAGTTTCATGAAAGAGCCAAATATCTTAAGGGAAGGGAAGAATTTCCCCCTGGCGGTGATCTCAGCGACATTCTTTTTTTGGGAGAAAAGAATGTGTACAAAACAAGAGAAGAATAAAAAGAACTGCACAGGGAAAGGTGGCTCAGCAAAGGGAACAGAAACTTAGCATTGTATTTTCTGTTTTCATAATTTTCATGAAATTCTATTTTTATTTTAGGACTGTGCTAAGCAACACGCCCAGCAACTCACCGCACAGAATTGGTGGCCTGCTTGTTTCTGGAAAGGGTGAGTGTGGTATAATTGTGCAAGGGGGCAACGGTGTCCTGAACAGCTTATTCTGTGACAGTTACTTGTTTTTCTTGGTTCTGGCCTGGGCCACATTTCTCAGTCCTCCCAGTTACTCTCAAAATTACCTAAAACTATTCCAATGAATATATTGCATCTAAGTTGGATTCTGTTATATGTTACCAGTAATTCTAACGTGCTGTATGTCATAACATGAAGGGTTAGTGTATTTTTCTCTTTTGTTTTTATCTCTTTTCAAGAATTGAGATACTATATTATTTTCATTGTACAACATAATGATTTGATGCATATATGTATTGTGAAATAATTACTATTAAACTAAGTTTAGTTACATCCCTCATGACACATAGTTACAATTTTTTTTTTTCCTGTGATGACAACTTTTAAGATTGACTGTCTCTGGATTATTTATTTTTTAAAAGATTTTATTTATTTATTTTTGAGAGAGGGGAAGGGAGGGAGAAAGAGAGGGAGAGAAACATCTATTGGTTGCCGCTTGCATGCCCCCAACAATCCCTGACATGTGCTCTGACTGGGAGTTGAACCAGTGACCTTTCAGTCCTCCAGACGACTCCCAACCCACTGAGCCACACCAGTCAGGGCTGTTTTTATTTTTTGATTGATCACCTGATAAAGAACTTTCATATCTCTATAAGGAATACTTTCATTTGTTTTTTTTTTTATTTCTTCTTGTAACCAAACAATCTAAAAAGAAAGGTTCTGCTTCCACAGACTAGGCTAGGTGGTGTTTCTTTGCAAGGGCACTCACTAATGGCATTTTGGGTGGGAAAATTCTTCATCGTGTACATTGTTGAAAGCTTCTCAGACCTATATACACCCATTAAATGCTATACCTAACTGAAAATATTGAACCGGAGGAAGAAATCAACTTGATGATCATTACAAGAATGTCTAAGTGGTGGGTGAAATAGTTTTTTTATGAGGATTATTTAAAATATTGGTGATCTTATTTTATAAAAGTTGGCTGAGTATATGTATTTGGAATCAACAGTTATTGCTTATAAACATAATAGAGGGAAACAGTAATGGGTATGTCCAGTTATCTGAAGTGGAGGAAGTGAAAATTACAGTTTAAAGTGGATTATTCTTCCCCCACCCCTGTCTTCTATCACCTTTTTGTAAATGAACAGGATAAGCCTCTTAATACCTGTGAAAATGTACCACCATAGCTAATTTGGAGACCACAGCTAGCTCACTAGTCCAACTAATTCAGATAGCTCCTAATTCTCATCTCTTTTGCCCAAGAATTCAGATTGCGCACAATCTCTGCCTAAATGTATTTCTTTGTAAATATCAGATGACTTGCTTATAAGCCATCCTAAGCAGATTTCTCTAACTTTTTAAGACACTTTTTAATCTAGGGCTTCTAAAGACTATAAAAATATTTCTAACACAAATTAAAACAATGGAAAATCAAAGTATTTTATAAATTTTTTTCTCTCAAAAAATTCTCATTTGCTTCTTTTTTTTTTTCCTGAAAATAGAATTTTACTTCTTTCTTTCCATTCTTTATTTCTTTCTTTTACCTAATTGTCTTGACTGGAAACTTCAGTATATGTTAAATAGAAATGGTGAGAATGAACATCATTATCTCATTCTTTTTTTAATTTTTTTATTTTTATTTTTTATTATTTTTTTTATTTACTTTTTAAATACATTTGTCTCTGCCTCCCCCCCACCTCTTTCCCTTGCCCCCTCCCACCTTCCCTCCCTCAGCTCTTCCCCTTTGGTTTTGTCCATGAGTCCTTGCTATATGTTCCTTGACTTTCCCCTTCCCTTCCCTTTTCCTGCCCCCCCCCCTTCTCTCTTGTCTCTGTTGATTTCTTTTCCTTTCAGTGTTGCTGGTCATATTTTCCTTGCATCTTTGCATTGTTGGTTAGGTTCCACTTATAGGTGAGATCATATGGTATTTGTCTTTCGCCCCCTGGCTTATTTCGCTTAGCATGATGCTCTCCAGTTCCATCCATGCTGTTGCAAAGTTTAGTACTTCCTTTTTTCTTTCTGCTGCATAGTACTCCATTGTGTATATGTACCATTGTTTTTTGATCCAATAATCTACTAATGGGCATTTAGGTTGCTTCCAAGACTTGGCTATTGTAAATTGTGCTGCTATGAACATTGGGGTGCATAGGTTATTTTGTATTGGCGTTTTGGTGTTCTCAGGGTATAGTCCCAGCAGTGGAATCGCTGGATCAAAAGGCAGTTCCATTTTCAGCTTTTTGAGGAAATTCCACACTGCTTTCCATAGTGGCTGCACCAGTCTGCATTTCCACCAACAGTGGACTAGGGTTCTCTTTTCTCCACAGCCTCGCCAGCACCTGTTGTTTGTGGATCTGCTTATGATGGCCATTCTGACCGGTGTGAGGTGGTACCTCATGGTGGTTTTGATCTGCATTTCTCTGATGGCTAGTGATGCAGAGCATCCTTTCAAATGCCTCTGGGCCCTCTGTATCTCCTCCTTAGAAAAGCATCTGCCCAGGTCCTTTGCCCATTTTTTGATCGGACCATCTGTCTTCTTGGAGTGGAGTCGAGTGAGTTCTTTATATATCTTGGAGATCAAACCTCTATCTGATGTATCATTAGCAAATATATTTTCCCAAACGGTTGGCTCCCTTTTCATTTTGCTGATGTTTTCTTTAGCCGTGCAGAAGCTTCTTATTCTGATGAGGTCCCACTTGTTTATTCTTTCCTTTATGTCCCTTGCTTTAGGAGACATATCAGTGAAAAAATTGCTGCGTGGGATATCTGAAAGTTTCCTGCCAATGTTCTCCTCGAGGACTTTGATGGTGTTGCGACTTATCTTTAAGTCTTTTATCCATCCTGAGTTTATTTTTGTGTATGGTGTCAGCTGATGATCCAATTTCAATTTTTTGCATGTAGCCATCCAGCTCTCCCAACATCATTTGTTGAAGAGGCTGTTATTGCTCCATTTTATGCTTCTGCCCCCTTTGTCAAAGATTAGATACCCATATAGACCTGCGCTTATTTCTGGGCTCTCTATTCTGTTCCACTGGTCTATGGGTCTGTTCTTGTGCCAGTACCAGATTGTTTTGAGTATGGTGGCTTCGTAGTAGAGTTTGATGTCTGGTATTGTGATCCCTCCTACTTTGTGTTTCTTTCTCAAAATTGCTGCGGCTATTCGGGGTCGTTTATTGTTCCATATAAATTTTTGAAATGTCTGTTCTATTTCTGTGAAATACGTCATTGGTATCTTAATAGGGATTGCGTTGAATCTATAAATTGCTTTTGGTAGTATGGACATTTTAAGGATATTAATTCTTCCAATCCATGAGCACGGTATATGCTTCCATTTATTTGTGTCTTCCTTAATTTCTTTTTTCAATGTTGTATAGTTTTCTGCATACAGATCTTTTGTGTCTTTGGTTAAATTTATCCCTAGGTACTTTATCTTTTTTCGTGCTATATCGAATGGAATATTTTTTCTGATTTCTTCTTCTTCTATTGCATTGCTGGTGTACAAAAACACCTTTGATTTCTGAATGTTGACTTTGTATCCTGCTGTTTTGCCAAATTCATTTATTAGGTTGAGTAGTTTTTTGGTAGAGTCTACAGGGTTCTCTATGTACACTATCATGTCATCTGCAAACAATGATATTTTTACTTCCTCCTTTCCTATTTGGATGCCTTTTATCTCTTTCTCTTGTCTGACTGCTGTGGCTAGGACTTCCAATACGATGTTGAAAAGAAGCAGTGAGAGCGGACATCCTAGTCGTGTTCCTGATCTTAGTGGGAAAGCTTTCAGTTTTTGCCCGTTGAGTATGATATTGGCTGTAGGTTTTTCATATATGGCCTTTATTACATTAAGGAATGCCCCATTTATTCTCATTTTGCTGAGTGTTTTGATCATAAATGGGTGCTGTACCTTGTCAAATGCTTTTTCTGCATCTATCGAGATGATCATGTGGTTTTTGTCTTGTCTTTTATTGATGTGGTGTATCACGTTTACTGATTTGCGTATATTGAACCATCCCTGCATCCCTGGGATGAATCCCACTTGATCGTGGTGGATAATCTTTTGAATGTATTGCTGGATGCGGTTTGCCAATATTTTGTTGAGGATTTTAGCATCTATGTTCATCAGCGAAATTGGCCTGTAGCTTTCTTTCTTGGTAGGGTCTTTATCTGGTTTTGGGCTCAGGGTGATGCTGGCCTCATAGAAGGAGTCTGGGAGTCATCCCTCCTCTTGGATTTTTTGGAATAGTCTGAGAAGGACAGGGGTTAGCTCTTCCTTAAATGTTTTGTAAAATTCTCCTGGGAAACCGTCTGGCCCTGGGGTTTTGTGTGCTGGGAGTTTCTTGATTAATGCTTCAATTTCCCCAGCTGTAATCGGTCTGTTCAAGCTTTCTGTTTCTTCCTCCTTCAGTGTTGGAAGATTATACTTTTCTAAAAATTTGTCCATTTCATCAAGATTTTCAAATTTCTTGGCATATAATTGTTCATAATAGTTTCTGATGATCATTTGTATTTCTGTGGTATCCGTTGTTATTTCTCCTCTTTCATTTCTGATATTATTAATTTGGGTCCTCTCCCTTTTTGTCTTGATGAGTCTGCTTAATGACTTGTCAATTTTATTTATCTTCTCAAAGAACCAGCTTCTGGATTGGTTGATCCTCTGAATTGTTCTTTTTGTCTCTATGTCATTCAGTTCTGCTCTAATCTTGACTATTTCCTTCCTTCTACTTGCTCTGGGATTTATTTGTTGTTGTTTCTCCAGTTCTTGAAGTTGTAGTGTTAGGTCTTTTATTTGAAATGTTTCTATCTTTTTAAGGTAAGCCTGTATTGCTATGAACTTCCCTCTCAGGACTGCCTTTGCTGTGTCCCATAGGTTTTGGACAGTTGTCTGTTCATTTTCATTTGTTTCCAGAAATTTTTTGATTTCTTCTCTTATCTCATTATGGACCCATTCATTGTTTAATAGTGTACTGTTCAGTCTACATGAGTTTGCAAGTTTCTGGTTTCTCTTTGAGGTTGATTTCGAGTTTCAAGGCCTTGTGGTCTGAGAAAAAGTTTGGTATTATTTCAATTTTCCTGAATTTGCTGAGGCTTGCTTTGTGTCCTATCATGTGGTCTATCTTTGAAAAACTGCCATGAGCATTTGAAAAGAATGTGTATGTTTCTTCTTTGGGATGTAAGGTTCTATATATGTCAGTTAAGTCCCTTTGATTCAGTGTGTCATTCAGCGCCACAATATGTTTATTAATGTTTTGTTTGGAAGATCTGTCCATTTTTGACAGTGGGGTGTTGAAATCCCCTACTATCAGTGTGTTGCTGTCTATATCTTTTTTGAAGTCATCCAACAATTTCCTTATAAACTTGGGGGCTCCTATATTGGGAGCATATAAGTTTACAATGTTGATGTCTTCTTGATAGATTCTTCCTTTAAGTATGATAAAGTGCCCCTCTGGGTCTCTCTTTATGGCCTTTGCTTTGAAATCTACTTTGTCTGATACAAGTATGGCAACCCCGGCCTTTTTCTCATGTCCATTTGCTTGGAATATTGTTTTCCATCCCTTTACTTTCAATCTGTGTAGGTCTTTTGCTCTGAGGTGGGTCTCTTGTAGGCAGCATATGTGTGGGTCATGTTTTCTTATCCATTCAGCTACCCTGTGTCTTTTGATTGGGGCATTTAGTCCATTCACATTGAGAGATATTACTGATAGAAACTTACTCATCTTTTCTCTTTGTACTTGTGTTCCTCTCTGTCTCATTCTTTTCCTTCATCTGCTTAAACCAGTCCCCTTAGCATATCTTGGAGTGCTGGTTTGGTAGAGATGTATTCTTTTAGCTTTCTTTTGTCTGGGAAACTCCGTATTTCTCCTTCTATTTTAATGGAGAGCCTAGCTGGGTAGAGCAGCCTTGGCTGTAGGCCCTGTCTTTTCATGGCTTGGAATATTTTTTGCCATTCCCTTCTGGCTTGGAGTGTTTCTGTTGAGAAGTCAGCTCCTAGGCGTATTGGGGCCCCCTTGTATGTTACTTTCTCCTTCTCTCTTGCTGCCTTGAGGAGTCTCTCTTTGTCTTTGACATTTGCCATTTTAATGATGATGTGTCTTGGAGTGGACCTCCTTGGGTCCCTCTTGAGTGGGGTCCTCTGTGCCTCCTGGATCCATGAGAGCCTTTCTCTCCTCAAATTAGGGAAATTTTCCATCATTACTTTTTCGAGGAGGTTCTCTATCTCTTGCTCCTCTTCTTCTCCTTCTGGTATCCCTATTATACGGATATTATTGCGTTTTAGGTTGTCCTGCATTTCCCTAAATGCTTCTTCATTCTTTTTGAGTCGTTTTTCCATTTCTTGTTCTTTCTGGGAGCTTTTTTCTACCTTGTCCTCTGTCTCACTGATTCGATCCTCAGCTTCATCCAGCCTGCTTTAGATTCCTTCTACTGTGTTCTTCAATTCCGAAATGGTATTCTTCATATCCTCTTGTGTCTTCTTGATAGTTTCTATGTCCTTTTCCAGGCTGATGTAGTTTGCTGTAAGATCCTGATAGTTTCTCTGCAGTTTCTCATAGTTCTCTTTGAGCTGGCTGAGCTCATTGAGCTTCCTTAGAACCATTGTTTTGAATTCCATATCTGATAATTCCCTTGCCTCTATTTCATTTAGCTCTGTCTGTGGGGAGTCCCCTTTTCCACTCATTTGGGGGGAACTTCTTTTTCTTCCCATTTTTGTGAGAGTCTGTTAAGTATTTTTGTCCTTTACTTTTCTTTCTGGGCTTGCCTCTGATGATATCAGTTGTTGACCCTATAGGGTCTTGGGTTATTTGTTTGAGTCTTTCAGGAGTCTAATGCCTGTGTCTGACTCCTGCTTGGAGCAGCTCTGTGACCCCTTCGGTCAGGGTTGGGCTATTTTTTGGGATCTTTCTGCGCTCTCACGCGGGCTCCTTGAGCGTGTTCCCAGCGCGGCAGGGTCCCCCACCTGCCTGGGCTCGCATGTGCTTGCCCCAGACCAGGGGGCTTATTCGCGACCTCCCGTACTCATCTGGCCTCCCTGACACGCGAGCTTCGCGGCACTGGTCAGTTTAGGGTCTTCTATTGTGTGTTTTCCCCGCTTTTGGCTCTTTGGGTGCGTTGCTTGCCCTCGCCAAATGGGGACTAGGGAAATGGGAGGAAATCAGCTCTAGGACTCTCCGGTTAATCCTGTTTCTGGTCTCTCCTCCAGGGACTCTGGGCAGCTCTACTTATTTTTCCTCCTCAATCGAAGGATTGTGGGCTGCTCCGCAATCGCGGTGGGTAGGTCAGTTTACGCCTGCCCTTGCCCCTCTGTGCACTCCCTCGCAGGCCGTATGGTTGGCAGTCTGTTCATTTGCTTTTTATCAGTAGTATTATTTAAATCATGAATCCATTATGTTTACTATCTTTGAGTTGGTATAGCGCCAGCTCATTTGTTTCAGACAACATTTACATTGTTGAACAATGACTACTGATGGTTCAATATGCTTGTATTCTCCAAAGAACCCCAGATGGTGGGTATAATAACCCAAGGAAAATATAGTTACTGATCATAAATTTGCTTCACTTTTTCAATTTTTTAATTTGCATTAAACTTTGGGCTCTGGTTTCTTTACCAATCAATCTTTAAAAGTCTCTTTTCTCCCTTTGTATGAGAAAAAGCTTACCAGGAAGCAACTGTAGACATCCAATATCCATATCCCTTATCTTGGATACTTATGCATTGAAACAAAAAGTGTAGTCTAAATCTCTTGCTCTATGTGCCTTCTCAAGCATTTATGATACAATTCTCTATCACCCCACCTCCAAACCCCCACGGATTTACAGTCTTCCCTGCTTCATCCATACCTCCAAAAACAGATCCCTTCAAAGTACGTCCTGAGAAGAACAAGGAGCCATCAATGTTGAGTTGGACACCATAAGTCAAGAAACCAACAATCACGCAGACCCCATGGTTCTCATGGCAGGAGGCCAGTGCAGCTGCCTGTTGTAAAGCAATGCAAGACAACACAGGTGTTAAGAGATGTGTTTCAGAGGTAGAGACCAACTATCTAAATCTCACCTTGACTGCTGAATGGTCTGTGACCTTTTCTGGTGCTCTCTGTCCACATTTGAAATAACATTTCTCTTATAAGGATACGCTGACACATAAATTAGACATGTATACTGCCAAGCATTTATATTTATAGTAACTGGCATTTTAGGCTCAATAGAAGGAAATTAAAAAAATGAAAATACTAAAGGAATCCATTGTAGTAATACTGCTGCTACTACTACAGCTACTACTGATTTTTATAAGAGCCATTACTGATGCTGGTGGTTACAGTTGACATGTTATTTTAGACATCAAAAAGTATAATTGGATATTTGTATATTGTCATGTATTAGCAAAGTGATAAACCACTGTTTCCATTAGTTATTTTTGAAGGCTTTCTCAGAGCCAGACTAACTATGGGAGATTGTGAGAAAGGTTTTCCTGTATCTTTTAAGAGAAGAGGAAATTTATGTGTAGTGAGGAATGAAAATATTTTGTAAGCTGAAGAAAGGACCTAGACTGGAAGAGTCAGTTCTTGGGTTTTCATACAACTGACTAGAGACAGAGCCATGTAACCCAATAATACATTGTTTCTACAAATCCCGTAAGAAAGCAAGTCTCAAATTGTGAAATAACTCCTTCTTCATTTATATTCTCTTATATAGACCATGTTTAGCCAGAGAAGCAACAACTTTTTTCATTATTATTTATTTATTTCTGGTTAAAGTTTTTAATTTAGTTTTTTAAAATAATTTTATTATTTTATTTACTTATTGAGAGAGAGAGGGAAAGAGATAAAGAGAAACATAGATGTGAGAGAGAAACATCAATCCATTGCCTCTCATATGTGCTCTGACTGAGGACTGAACCCACAATCCAGGTATGTGCCTCGACCAGGAATCCAGCTGGTGACCTTTTGCCTTGTGGTATGATGCCCAACCAAATAAGCCACACTGGTCAGGGTATTAATTTATTTTTGAAATGAATCTATTTCATCAAGAATGGTAAATATTTAACTTGGAAGCTTAACGCAGACCCAACCTGAAAGACTTCGCTGAAAGTGCAAAGCTCATTGCTTATGGGGTCATTAATCCAATATTGTCCTTATCCTGACTAAATCTTCTGGCTTGGAAATTAATTACTGAGCTTCGGCTTGTTATGAAATAATCCCGTGAGACTTCTTTACAAAGCCTTCCCGTCCTGCCAATGAGAGGTTGTCTGCTTATTTGAGGGAATGGCATGATGGAGCAGAGGGAGAAGAAACCTTAGTATGGGAGTTCAATGTCTGGCACAATAAATAGGTTTGTAGGAGTGGACAGAGGGTATCAGGTGGGATGTCATGGGGCACAAGAAAATGAAATAGAGGAATGTGGAAAAAATTTTAGAACTTTCACTTAATTAAGATCTACGGTGATGATTGGCAAAAAAATTGGTAGTTTTCATTGCAGAGGATCACATACCACTATTTCTGGTTTTCCAATGACCTCAAAGCAAAATTCCACACCAGCACCTGTCATGTCAACTAAAACTTCCTGGATGGGTTTCTTGAAGTCCTGTGGGCTGATGCACTCAGTGGCACCCACTTCCTTTGCCTTCTCAAATTTGTCTTTGTTGATGTCCACCCCAATGATCCTAGCAGCTCCAGCTGCTTTACAGCCCATGACCACAGACAGGCCGACTCCTCCAAGGCCAAACACTGCGCAGGTGGAGCCTGGGGTCACCTGAGCACATAAAAGCACACTTGTGAATGGCATTCAGACATAACTTGTCATTTACTATTGACTAAGGGAATGGGAATGATTTTGAAGGGAGTATGGGAAGACTAGACAGATAGTACAGAACTCAAAGATGTTCAGAGGCAGGTTTGTGATCCTTCCTTAAGTTGTATGATCAGGATGATCAGGTATGGTCCAGATAAACAAGGCTTTTCAAAACCGTATCCCAAGAATTTCATTTATAGATGTTATAAATGCTTCTCACCTTGGCAGTGTTGATTGCAGCACCATACCCAGTGGAAAAACCACAGCTAATTAGGCAGATTTTCTCTAGAGGAGCAACGTTATCAACCTTGGCAACTGAGATTTCTCTTATCACTGTGTATTCAGAGAAGGTGCTTGTATTTGCAAAGTGATATATTGATTTTCCCTTGCAGGTAAACCTACTGGTACCATCAGACATCAGGTTGGTGTATGCCTGTCTTTTATAGATCAAAAAACAAACAAAATTTTTATTTTGAATTAGAAAGCTTAGATTCCTGACAAGGACAGTGAATTAATTTTTCAAAAAGAAAATATAAGGAAAAACTTACTTGAGTTGTATACAACAATTGCCCTCAGGATTAAGGCAAGAGGCACATTCTCCACACTGTGGTAGAAAGAGTGTGATAACTTTATCACCTAAGAGAAAAAAAAATCATTTAATGAGGTGTTATCTTTTGAAGTAAAGAGAAAACTGTGTCTTGAGACCTAAATATTCAGGCACCCAAGAAAACAGGATTGCTGAGAGTAATTTCCACGTTTAACTGTGTTGATACTATGGAGAATATGAAATATGTCCAGAATGAAGGGATGTCTCTGGCATCTGTGTCTAGCCCTGGGCTCCGCTGTTGAATTCCAAGGAGCTGGCCCCAGATTCAGCTCCTTTGTAAGTTCCTTTTGAAGCTTCAGATGATTTTGTTATATAGCCATTAAGCCAAATCTTTTCTTTCATTTTCCACAGTAACTTCTGCGAGGAAATAGTATGGATGCCACATGTTCACACTATAAGCTTCTGGATTAGGGAGAAAGGATTGTCTATATGCTGTGTGCTGTGTATTTTACATTAGTTCTTTCCTCCTTGGCCATGGAGACCACAGATAGGTAGATTTCTGTAGTAATGTTCAAAGCCTATGATGGAATTTGTGACTGCCCCTGCCCCTTGTCTATCTCTGTAAACTAGAGCAACTTCTTTCTTAGTTTTAGTTAAAAACCTTTGTAGAATTTAGGTTCATTTTAAAATTTATTTTTGGTTTTTAAAAAGTAATATAGACATATGGTAAGAACTGTGCAAACATGAAAATTAGCCCCTCAGTCTCCGGTTATCTTTTCCACACCCCAGAGACACTTACCTTCTCAGTGTCCATGGTATCTTTCAGAGATATAACAGCTTTAAAAATAGAACGGCTAGAGGGGAAGGGGGAGGGGGATAACAGGGGAAAGAAGGGGAAGGGGTGTGTCAAGGAACATGAGTAGAGGACTCATGGGCACAGACAGTGTTAGGGATAGACTGTGGGAGTAGGGTGGGGGATGGGGCAGGGGAGAGCAATGGGGAAAAAGGTGAGACACCTGTAACTTAACAACAACAATTAAAAAAAAAAAGTACAAAGGCTAGCATACTATTTACCCTGTAGTAGGCCTTGGTATTTTACTTAACAATATATCTTGGTCATTTCTCATTTTAGTACATATAGCCTGCTATCATTTTATTTAATATTTATGTAGTATTCCATGGTATAGATAAATCATAATTAATTTACCTGGTCTCCTGGACATTTATAGACATTTAGGTTATTTCCTGTCTTTTTCTTCACTACAATTTTTTTAAATGTTTCATTTTTTATTGTATTTTTTTTCCATGACCAGTTATCTTCCCATACCCTCTTACACCTCCATGCTTTCCCAGCCACCACACCATTGTCTGTGTCCATGAGTCCTTCTTCTGATTTGCTCGATCCCTCCACACCCTTACCCCCCAGGGCTGTCAGCCTGCTCTCTATGACTCTGACTCTATTTTGCTTGATAGTTCAGTTTGTTCATTAGATTCCACATATGAGTGAAATCATGGTACTTGTCTTTCTCCGACTGGCTTACTTCACTTAGCATAATGTTCTCCATGCCCATACATGATGAGGCAAAGGATATAATTTTCTCCTTTTTACGGCTAAGTAGTATTCCATTGCAGTAAATGTACCATAGCCATTTTCTCCACTCATCTGCTGATGGACACGTGGGCTGCTTCCAAATCTTAGCTATTGTAAATAATGCTGCAATGAACATAGAGGTGCATGTATTCTTTGAATTACGTTTTGGGTTTCTGCGGATAAATTTCCAGAAGTGGAATTGCTGGGTCACAAGGCAGATCCATTTTTAATTTTGTGAGGTAACTCCATACAGCTTTCCACAGTGGCCACACCAATCTGCATTCCCACCAACAGTGCACAAGGATTCCCTTTTTGCCACATCCACATCAGCCCTTGTTTGTTGATTTATTAATAATAGCCATTTTGACACATATGAGGTAATACCTCATTGTGGTTTTGATTTGCATTTCTCTGATAATCATTGATGTTGAGCATCTTTTCATGTGTCTATTGGCCATCTGTGTGTCCTCTGAAGAAGTGCCTATTAAGGTTCTTTGCCCATATTTTAATTGGATTGTTTTTTAGTGTTGATTTTTACAAGTTGTTTATAAATTTTGGAATTAACTTTTTATCAGATATATCTGATGATATATCTGGTGAATATGTTCTCCTGCTCAATGAGTTGTCTTTTCATTTTGTTGATGGTTTGCTTTGCTGTGCAAAAACTTTTAGGTTTTATGAGTTCCATTTGTTTATTTTATCTTTTGTTTTCCTTGACTGAGGAGATATATCAGAAAAAATATTCCTATGAGCCATGTCTGAGATTTTACTGCCTATGTTTTCTTCTAGGATTTTTATGGTTTCTAGTCTAACATTTAATCCATTTTGAATTTATTCTTGTGTGTAGTATAAGAAGATGGCCTAGTTTCATTTTTCTGCATGTATCTGTCCAATTTTCCCAACAGCATTTATCAAATAAACTATCTTTAGCTCATTGTATGTTTTTTGCCTCCTCTGTGAAGTATAAAGGTGTGAGGTTTTTTTCTGGGCTCTCTCTCCTGTTTCTTTCATCTATATGTCTATTTTTATGCCAGAGCCATGCTGTTTGATTACTATGGACTTATAGTATATTTTGAAATTAGGTAGTGTGATTTCTCCAAATTTGTTCTTCTTTGTAAAGATTGTTGCTATTCAGGGTCTTTTGTGGTTTCAGATCGATTTTTTTGGATATTTGTTTTAGTTCTGTGAAGTACATCATTAGTATCTTGCTGGGAATTGGGTTGAGTCTATAGATTGCTTTGGGTAGTATGGACATTTTAATAATATTAATTCTTCCTACCCATGAACATGGTATATGCTTCTGCTTATTTGTATTTGCTTCAATATCTTTCTCAGTGTCTTATAATTTTCCAAGTACAGGTTTTTTACATCCTTGGCTAAATTTATCCCTAGGTATTTTATTCTTTTTGAAGCAATTGTGAGTGGGATTGTTTTCTTAATTTCCCTTTTTTTGATAGCTCATTATTGGCATATAAAAATGCATCTGGTTTCTGGATATTAATTTTGTATCACGTTACTTTACTGAATTCATCAATCAGTTCTTATAGTTTTCTTTGTGGAATATTTAGGATTCTCTATATACAGTATCTCATCATCTGCGAAAAAAGAGTTTCACTCCATCCTTTCCAATTTGGATGACTTTTCTTCTTGTCTGATTGCTGTGGCTAGGACTTCCAGTATTATATGAATAAGAGTGGTGAAAGCAGACATCCCTGTCTTGTTCCTGATCTTAAAGGATGCATTTGTCTATTTTGCCTATCGAGTATGATGTTGGCAGTTGGTTTGTTATATATGGCCTTTATTACATTGAGGTGTGTTCCCACTATTCCTTCTTTGCTGAGAGCTTTTATTGTAAATGGGTGCTGGATTTTATCAAACACTTTTTCTGTATCTATTGATAGGATCATGTGGATCTAGGAATTTATCCATTTAATCCAGGTTTTTCAATTTGTTGGCATATAGGTGTTCATATTCCTGTCTTAAAATTTTGGTTTTGTTTTGTTTTTTCCTGACATGGGAGATAACAATGCATGAATGTTTTGTGCACACATGGGCTACGGTAGGCAGAATTTCTAAAATGGTCCTATCCTCATCCCCAGAAATGGAATATGTTGTTATCATGCCTGTGAATATGTTACACAGACAGAGAGGCTTTGCAGATGTACAGTTACTAATCAGTTGACATTAAAATAGGGAGTATCCTGGGTTATTCTGGCAGACCAATTGCAATCAAATGAGCCCTTGAAAGGAGACGAGGAGAGCAGAGGAGAAAGACAACACAATTCAAAAGCATGGGAAGGATTCCATGTGTCATTGTTGCTTTGAGGCTGGAAGTGGGTGAAGTGGCCACACAGGAAGAAATGTGAGCAGCTTCAAGGAGCTGAGTGCAGGCCCAGCTGACAGGTGGTCAGTCCTATAACCTCAAAGAATTGGATTCTCTAGTGTCTCCAGATAGGGACCCAGGTAGCCAATACCTTGATTTTGACTGTATGAGACCCTAAGCAGAGAACCTGGTAAAACCCACCCAGATTTGTGATGTACAGAACTGAGATAATAAATTTGTTTTGTTCTAAGCTGCTAACTTTGGAGTGATTTTTTTTTGACATCAGCAATAGAAAGCTAAAACGTGGGTGTATATACATGTAATACCTTTTTGAAATTGGAAGTATCAGGTCCAAAATAGACGCATGTTAAGTGACATGACATATTGCCAGATTTAAAGTTGTGAAAATTTACTTTCCAAATAATAAGATATGAAGGAGTTTTTTGCCTACACTCTGTCAACCTTATATACTAGCAAACTTTTAAATCTTTTCTAATCTGTTAAGTAAACAGCATTTTAGCATTGTATTTAAAATTTTGATTATTTAATATGTTTGAGGTTAGGCACATTTATACATGCTTAAAAACATTTGCATATACTCACACACACATATGTATGTATATGTGTGTGTGTGTGTGTGTATGTATTTTTCTCCTCCAAACTAGATGTGGATTCCCTTTGTCCATTATTCTGCTGGGCTATTTTCTTTTAAATTGTTTTTAAGGGATCTTTTATATATTAAACAAATTTGGCCATTGTCTTATTTGTTTGTTGATTTTGCGAGGGCATTTTTTAGAAACAGAATTTAAAAAACTTTCTGTGTAGTCAAATTTACATATTATTTACATCTCCTGAGTTTTTTATTGATTAATATTTCCTTCCCTTCTATCTTTAATAAGTCAATAAACAAGTGCTGGTGAGGGTGTGGAAAAAGCATAACTCTTTTGTACTGTTGGTGGGAGTGTATATAGGTGCGGCCAATGTCGAAAGCAGTATGGAGTTACCTTAAAAAATTAAAAATGGAATTGCTTCATGAGCCAGCAATTCTACTTCTGGGAATTTATCTGAAGAAATCCAAAACATAATTAAAAAAAATATATGCACCACTATGTTCACTGCAGCATTATTTACAATAGCCAAGATTTATAATAAGCCCAAGTGTCCATCAGTAGATGAGTGGAGAAAATAGCTCTGGTACAATTATGCAACAGAATACTACTTGGCTATAAAAAAGAAGAAAATTCTACCCTTTGTGATGACATGGATGGACCTGGAGATCATTATGCTAAGTGAAATAAGCCAGTCAGAGAAAGGCAAGTACCATATGATTTCACTCATATGTGAACTCAGATGAACACACTGAACTAAGAGACAAAATAGAGAGAAGGCTGACAGCTCTGGTGGGGATTAATGGGCGGAAGGAGGTAGAAGTATTAAGTGAAGAAGAAAAATAACCCACGGACACAAACAACAGTGCAGTGATTGCGGGGGGAGGGAGAGAGGTAGAGGTGAAAGAGGGTATGAGGAGGATTAATGGTAATAGAAAAATACAATGAAAAATAAACTATTACAAAAATTCTTCCCTCCTGTGAAATAATATAATATTCTCCTATGGTTTTTATAGCACTATTATGGTTTCATTTTTCACATTTAATTCTTGGATTCATATAGCATTATTTTTTAATATAGAGAATGCAAAAGCAACTTAATTTCTTTCTGTGGATGACTAGTTGTTTCAATGTCATTTATTGAATAATCGTTTTCCTCCTCAAGTTTGAAAGGCAAACCTAATCCTGCACTCAATTCCTATATGTATATTTGTACAGAAGGAGTTATAGGCTCCTTCTGTAGCTGGTTCCATTAATGTGTTTGACTATTTATCCTATGCTTCATTTGAACAGTTTACCTCTTTTTTGTAAATTTTTCTCTTAATTACAATTTCCCATTCTGTTTCAGTACATTCTATTTCTCATTCCTATTAATATCAAAATATAAATGCAAAGAATGTAATACATTTAGTATTTTTATTCCATGTATAATTATTCCTTTTCTAAGAAGTACACAATAGTTAGCCTTTTATTTCACTTTATCTTAAGTTTTCCTGATGTAGGTTCCAAGTTACTGCTATTTCCTAACTCCAGGTGCCAATTCATACCTGTTTTCACTGTGCTCACTCCTTCTCCCACACTCTCGACTATTCCAGCTCCTTCATGGCCAAGAATGATGGGATAACAGGTATTACCCCCCAACATTTTCATCTCTGTACCACAGAGCCCTGTGGCCACGATCTGTATGGAAGGCAAAGAGTAATACAGTTTTCTCTGTCTCAGCTAGAGGTGTTTGAGAATTGTTAATGTTTTCAATCTTTTTGCTAGTTTGACATGCTGCATTAATACTAATGCATTTATTAGTTTTATTTCTAGATAAGTGTCAATAATTTGTTTAAAACAATGCAATATTTTTCATTAGTTAATTTCAAAATCAAAATAATGATTTTAAAACTTACTGAGATATCAGAATAGGTTCAGAAGAGACAATTGTAAAACCAGTGTGACATCAAAAATTTTACTTTGTTCTTCATTGGAGCTTGTTGGTGGGCATGTGGAGGAGAAAGACCCATTATAGTAATGAAGGAATTGGAACACAGGAAGAAAAAAGGTATTACTATCGCCTATTATAATTGAAGCCTTAATTTATTTTATACAAGTGCTTTATAGTTGTGTTATTGGTACAAATTGTAATTGTACTTTTGTTGTAAATCAGCCAGGCAGTTGAAAATGGAGGCACTCTAGAGCAGTGGGTAACAAGGGTGAAATCTGCCCTGACTGCTGAGGCTCAGTTGAGTGTGTGTCACCTTGCAAAGGTCACAGGTTAGATTCCATTCAGGGCACATGCCTCTGTTGTGGGTTTGATCACCAGTTTGGGCATGGGCAATATCTGGTTCAGATGCTTACAATCCCTGGTCCGGGCTCCAGTCCCGAATGGATTAATTGATGGTTCTCTCTTGCATTGATGTTTCTCTCTCTCTCCCTTCCTCTTTCCATTCCTGTCTCTTTAAAAGCAGTGAAAAACAAAAATGTCCTCAGGTGAGGATTAAAAAAAGAATTGAAATGTTTTGAAATTTGTTTATGTAAAAGGCGGGGGGGTGGTTATTCGAAGAATACTATAAAATTGCTTACAACTCAACTGTAGGAAGTGCAGTCAGGTTTCCTGCATCTAGAAATCCATCAAGTAGACTTTGTCTTCCTCTCAGTGCTCTGATTCAACATGTGCATAGCTGAATTTTCCTGTTATTTTCTAAGGACATGCTTTTTCTTATTTCTCATGATTGTATGGTTAAACAAGGCTAGCAGCTCTGAGTCCATCCAGCCTTTCCAGTATTCACCATTTCCTGCTCTACTCAGGCTCTGTATCTTGTTGAAATTCAAGGGTGAGAGATTCACATTTGCAGCTTGTCAGGTAATGGCTGCATACCTTTGAGTCAGTGTCTAAATCTGGCTGCACGAGTGGGGACCTTTGGGGAAGGGCAAATGCAGATAACCAAGTGGCCTCCTGTGCAGTCTGCATGGGACGCAGTCTGAGAAATTGCGGAGAGGAGGGAGGGCATGGATTGCACAGGTAAGCTAAAGTGGAAAATGACTATCTCTTTATAATCCATCACAAACAGTACTTATTCATCATTACTAAAGTTAATAACAATGAAAGGACGCTGGAGTAGAAGTCAGGTGAACACTGTTCTAGTCTGGTGGTCCCCGTTAGAATCACCTGAGGGAGATTTTAAAACTCTCACGACCAGACTGCATCCCAGACCAATTGAATCACAAATTCAGAATGCCTGTGGGTGGGGCTCAGGTATCAGCATTTTTCAAAGATCCCAAGTGCTTCCAAATGGGTAACCAAGGTTGACACAAATTGTTTTTACTCTTCTTAGCTGTGTGAGCAGTCACTAGACCTCAGGGGATTTTACTTCTTATCTCTAAAATAACAGGTATTCCTAGCCTGACTTTCTAGGATTTAGACTTGACTTATCTGTAATGAAACAAATTTTTCATATATCATATTTCAAGATAACTTAAATATCATGAAGAATAAATATCATAAATAAATTTAAAAACTAGAGATAAAAATATAATTTGGGGTAGAAACTTCTTTTAATTCATATTTAGTACTACAGCTGTGAATTAGTCTCCTCTGGGCATTTAGCCTTTGCCATATCTCTCTAACTCTTTCTCTGGCTGGATTTAGACAGACGGAAGTGTTTCCTGAAAAAAGAATAGAAGAGTATGCAGTTTTCTTTCTGAATTTGATTCTTGTTGTGGAAATGTGTTTTTTTTTTTGTTTTTGTTTTTTGTTTGTTTGCTTATTTTTTTTTACCTTTATGCGAACTTCCTTTGCCTTTGGTGGGGCCACTTCTATCTCCTCAATGGAAAATGGTGTATCAGGCTTCCAGAGTATGGCTGCCCTGCATTTGATAACCTAGGAAAGAGAATATGAGGGAGAGAGGGAAACTGCTTAGGCTTGGGAGATGGATCCTTGTATTACGGACTATTAGAAGGTTTTGTCCAGTTCTTCAACACTCAAACCAAAAAGGAAAAAAAATTCATTGCTTATATATATTCTCTGTGTACCCTCTTGGACACCAGTCCAACTTTTCTTGCACTATTAGTCTTGTCATTCAGATAAGTTTTGCAATATTAATTATATTTACATAATGCTCACAATCAAGAGGATAGATGTTACACTTTTGACCTTCCCATGAATTAAGTTGTCCAGTGGCTGCTTTAGGGTAGGAATGGAATTGCAGTGTGGGGGTTATTTGTGATCCCAGGTGTGGGCAAGGATCAGTTTTGAGGCAGAGAGATATGCTATGGAGCAGGGAATGGAGAACATCTAACTGTAGCAGTTCATCAAATGGTGGTGGTCACAGGCAGGTTCAGGTTGGAGAGGTTGTTGGTGGCAAGATAGTTCTTAGGGTTTGGATTTCAGCCTACCGCTGTTCTCACTACAAATTTTCTTCCTGTGTGGTCTCACTTTATTTATGGATTTCACCTTATTTATGGATACTACCTTTATGTAGATGACTTTGACAATTTGTATCTATGGACAGACTTGTCCCTAAGCTTTTGATTCATTTATTCATCTGCTATTAGAATGCCATCAGGTATCTTAAATGCAATACATTAAAACACGAACACATCATTATTTCTTCCTCCTGTCCCCATCTCTTCCTGCCGGTTGTAGACATACACACTCTGCCCCCCATCCCCACTCTCTATCCCAATGTGTGGCGATGTACTAATTCACTCACCCAAGAAAGAGACCTGGGGTGTAGCCTTAATTTTTATCTCTTTACAAGCTAAAACTTTCTGGAATCTGTCCCCTCTTCTCCATTTTTGCTGCTACTGTGTGGTCCAGGTCCTTACCCTGCCTTTTACCTGGCTTGCGTCCTTTGCCTTCAAATCCATCCTCTATGTCATTGCCATCTGAACTATAATCCTGACCATGCTATTACCCTATCTAAATATGATATGGCTACCAATTTTTTTTCCAGTACCTGTTGACAGGGCCTATAAGACTCTCCATGATCTTCTTCATGTCAGTCTCTCCACTTATTTCTCTTATTTCTAGTCACATCTGGCCTCTGACATTACTCTGGAGATTCTCATATGGGATATTTTTCTTTCTTCTATGTTTCTCCCTCATGCTAAGTGTCCCCTTCTCTGGGAAGCCAGGTTAGGAGCACTTCCTTGCTCTCTCTCTCCTTTACTACCCTTGCACGCTCTCTTTTTTTAGTAGTATAAGGCAGTTCATTTTTAGAGGATAAATTTTATACCTGTCTTCCTCCGCTGATTTTACAAAAAAAAAAAAAAAGTTTTTGAAGTCTTAGCAAAATAAATAGGGTATTATTGTAAAGCAGTGGTGCTGAAAGTGTGGTCCCAGACCAGTGATGTCAATATTTGCACACTTCAGAAATGTGAAGTATTGGGCCCTACCCTTAAACTTACTGGCTTAGTTACTCTCGGTGCGGGGGACGGGGGCACCAGCAACAAGTTTTTCAGCGAGTTGCTGTAGAAAACACATGCACACTCTTGCACAATTACTCTGTCTCTCTGTGAGGTCTTTGGAGAAGGGGATATATCTTCACTGAAAAGTTTGATATAGGGCTTGATATATTGCTTATTGAAAGACTAAAAATACTGAGGAAAGGCAAAACACATAAAGGGAGCAAAAGAAAAGGAGGAGAGGAAGTAAGATTAAGTCAGTCTCTCACTTTTAGGAGTAAAGACACTAGTTGAATGATGAGGTGTTATTAAATAGACAAACACACAAGTTGACACAACCGCTACATTATATAAAGAAAACTGTACTTACCTTCCCTGCAGTACTCATGTTGATTTTCTTTGTGTTCTTCCTGTGAATATATTGAGAAGGTGAATATATTGAGAAGGGAAGATTCTGCTTACAACTTCCACTGTGGAAAGTCCAAGAGTACATAGGTCACTGGCTGACCGAGAGTTTGGGTCCTGCACTTTTTATATAATCTTTTAATCATTACACCCAAAACTCAGATTGTCCTGTTTCTTATATGAAATAGACTTTGCTTAGTAAAAGAGCACAAAAAGTTTTGAGGAAGGATTTACTCCTCAGGTGACAGGTGGTGACAGGTCACCACCTGTCACCAATGATCAGAAGTGATAGGAAAGATGAGTTAGAAAGGGAGTAAAAAAGAGAAAATGACTTTAGGCCCCACATTGGGTGCCAAACTGTTACCAGACGGGAACTGGGCCTGAAGCAGGTCTGCCTCGGACCTGCTGGTAGTATGTGGGTCCTTGACTTTGTACAGGAAAGATTTCACAGAGTTCATTAATTATTGTATTATTTCCCATACAAACAGCTGTAAACCTAATTTTCTCTACTTTGTATAATGATAAAAGGGCAATCTACTAAAAGAGACAGCAATCCTAAATGTGTATGCACTAGAGCTGTGAAGTTGTGAAGCAAAATCTGATGGGACAATAAGGAAAATAAATCAATCCACAGTTTTAGTTATTATTTTTCCCCCTCAATCACATAAAATATAATTAGTCTGGCAAAACTAGTTTGAATTCAAAGACTGATAATGCAAGAAAAGTTGGATTGAAGTTTGAGAGGCTTCAAACAGCATATATTTGAGCAATGATTTATTTTTTGACCTGCTCTCTGGACAAGAAGTCACCCACCCACATATCTGTCACCAGGTGATACCTGGGTGACACTCCTTCACTCCTTGTTTAACCAGCGTGGAGTGTAGCACCCTGTCTGAGTCAGGTAAATCTATTCTGGGGCTCTGACCAATGTTCTGGTCATTTGTAAGGAAACCCTGAGAACATGGGTAAACATGTTCATGGGTCAAACACGTGTTCTCTTTGCAGTTCTCTCTCTGTTGTATTGTGGCATTGAGTCCCCTGTGTGAGTGGGGAAATCCACCTCCAGGGCATCTGGCTAATGTCCTGGTCTTTGGGAAGGCCACCATCAGGGCACGAGGTGAACATGTCCACAGCACAATTCTCTAGCCATGCTATATCTCCGGGTTGTCTATAAAGCATTCATTCTCTTTCTCCTGTTTAAACAACTCTTTGGGACACTATATATGTAACTCCTGGAACTGGGGCTGAGACTTTCCTCGTTTCTTACAGCTCTTTCACAGCCTTTGAAACTTTCAGAGAGTCTCAATAAGTCTTCCTTCTGGGTAATTAGAAACATAAACAAGGCTGAAGAAACTGAAGGAAATTAAAAAAGAAATGAACCTTTTTAAACACTCTAAATCCTCTTGCTAGAGGCTTGGGAATGCTGTGGTCCTGGAGACAATAGGGGAATCAATGCCACTCCCAAATCCTGTGTAGGCTGTGGAAGCAACAGGGGTGATTGCCCCAGCTCAGTGTGAAAAGAAAAGGTGGCATTTGTGAAACTCAAGAGGCTGGAGTTGCCCAAGCCAGATATCTCCTCTGCCTCTTCTTTAGCTTCACCAAAAGATGCCAAGGACAGAAGATAATTGAACAATTCACTTTTGAGCACACAAAAGGAATGCAAAAATCACCAAGAATCCAAATGGGAAGTTTAAGTTTAGTTAATGTCTTTTAAAGCTATTATGATGGGATATATGTTTGTTTTGCCTGGGTTTACAAAAAAAAGATTCATGTTATCTCTGTTATACCTCTTAAAAAAGGTAAGTATATTGCCAATGAAAAAAGCCTGTTTCTAGAAGTTATAAAATGTGTTCATAAAGGTATCAACCTTAAGAATGCTAATTAATTACCTTCAGTTGTCACTAAAAAAATAAGATTTCTCACTTCCAGCCAAGATGGAATCATAGGTAGATACACGTTGCCTCCTTGCACAACTAAATGAAGGACAACAACACATTTGAAAACAAAAATAACCAAAACTGCCAGAAAAATGAACTGTATGGAAGTCCAACAACCAAGGAGTTAAAGAAGAAACATTCATCAAGACTGGTAGGAGGGGTGGAGATGGGCAGCCCATGCGGAGAGGACATGTGATGAGGCAGCAACTATTGGACTGAGCATTCCCACATTTGCGTGCAGATATACCTGGAGGAACAGCTGGGGAGTGAGACAGACCACACAACCCAGGGTTCCAGTGTAGGAAATGAGAGCTTCAAAACCTCTGGCTGTAAAAACCTGTGGAGGTTGGGGCAGCAGAAGAAACTCCCAGCCTCACAGGACAGTCTGCTGGAGAGGAGTACAAGGTCCTAGAACATACACAAACTCACCCACTCAGGAATCAGCACCAGAAGGGCCCAATTTGCTTGTGAGTATTGGGGGAAGTGACTGAAAGCTGGTGGAGTGTTGAGCAAGTGGCATTGTTATCTTTTGGACCCCTCCCCAACAAACAGCTTCACAACACAGAGACAAGGGCTGCCCCACCATGGCGAATATCTAAGGCTCTGCCCCTTCCAATGTAACAGATGTGCTGAGACAAAGAAGTATGGCCCAAATGAAAGAACAGATCAAACCCCCCAAAACAGGCCTATGCAAGGAAGAGATAGCCAACCTATCAGATGAACGGTTCAAAACAATGGTAATCAGATACTCACTGACTTGGTTGAGTATGGTTGTAAAATGGAGGAAAAAGGGAAGGCTATGCAAAATGAAATAAAGAAAAATATACACGGAATCAACAGTGAAGGGAAGGAAACTGGGACTTAAATCAATGATTGCAAGAAGAAGGAAGAGATAACCATTCACCCAGACCACAATGAAGAAACAAGAATTCAAAAACATGAGGAGAGTCTTAGGGACACTGGGGCAACTTTAAACATTCCAACTTCTGAATCATAGGGTTGCCAGAAGGAGAAGAGGAAGAGCAAGAAATCAAAAACTTATTTGAAAAAATAATGAAGGAGAACTTTCCCAATCTGGTGAAGGAAATAGACTTCCAGGAGATCATGGAAGCTCAGTGAGTCCCAAGGAAGTTAGACCCAAGGAAGAAGACAGCAAGACACATCATAAGTAAATTACCCAAGGTTAAAGATAAGGAGAGAGTCTTAAAAGCAGCAAGAGAAAAAGAGACAGTTATCTACAAAGGGGTTCCCATAAGACTATCAGCTGATTTCTCAAAAGAGACTTTGCAGGCAAGAAGGGGCTGACAAGAATTATTCAAAGTCATAAAAGGCAAGGACCTACATCCAAGGTTGCTCTATCCAGCAAAGCTCTCATTTAGAATGGAAGGGTAGATAAAGTGCTTCCCAGATAAGGTCAAGTTAAAGGAGTTCATCATTGCCAAGTTCTTATTCTATAAAATGTTAAAGGGACTTATCTAAGAAAAAGAAGAAGATCAAAAACTATGAACAGTAAAATGATGACAAACTCACAACTGTCAACAACTGAACCTACCCCCCCCCCAAAAAAAAACAACCCAAACAAACTAAGGAAACAACTAGAACAGGAAGAGAATCATAGAAATGGAGATCATGTGGAGGGTTATCAGTGAGGAGGGGAGAGGAGGAATAAGGGGGGGAAGTTTCAGGGAATAAGCAGCATAAAGAGTAGGTACAATATAGACAGGGGGAGGTTAAGAATAATATAGGAAGTGGAGAAGCCAAAAAACTTACATGTACGACTCATAGGCATGAACTAAGGGTGGGGGTAGAATGCTGGGCAGATGGGCAGTGCAGGGTGGAGTGGAATAAGGAGGAGAAAAAAATGGGACAAGTGTAATAGCACAATAAATTATATATATATAAATAAAATAAGGTTTCTAAGAATTAAAAATTCTAATTAAGTTGGGAAAAGTATATGGTCTTGGTCATAAAAGAGGTAAGGAAATAGAATTGAAAGTAGGTTGTTCTAAAGTTGGTTAGTTCTGAATGACTTAAAAAGAAGGAAACTCAAAAGGGCCAGGCAAGTTGAAGAAGCTTTGTGTACATCACAGAAGGTTCTGTAAGTCACAGAGGGGTTGTGTAAGTTGAAGAAGGATTGTATAGAGGGAAGAAGCAAAAAGAGAAGAAATTGAGAAAGTGAAAAAGGCAAGAAAGCATAAAAGAAAGGGATGCATATATGACAAGGAGGAAGGACATTGGAGACGGAAGCTCAGTAAGGGAAATGCAAATGGGAAAAAAAAATAAGAGAGAAAAGGCAAGGCACATAGATGGTGAAGTGAGGTGGTATTTTTCATGTAGATTTGTTTTGCAAAAAATGAAAGCAAATGATGTGAAATACCTTATATTTAGTTGTTTAGGGCCCTTTATCAAGACTTGTAAGATGTGTGTTGCCACAACGTCAGTCGAATTAGAGGATGCCTTCCTCACAGTCCTGTCAAGATGTTGGTCCCTCTTCATAGTGGATCAAATGGAACCCACCCTGAGAGTGGAGCAGCCCACTTTCCAGCCTACTCTGTCTCCCAAAGGCAGCCACCTCTGTATAACCCCTCCTCCACCACAGCATCTGCCCGTGCTTGTAATCCTGTGACTATGAGGAGCAGAACTAAATATCATCAAAATCCTGACAAAAACCTCTGAGGGAAGTAGTAAACAAGAATCTCGGTGGAGGAATTATTCAGGTATATGTTCCCTTCTCTGTGTCTGACCTGGTCCTTCGCAAAGAAAGACTCCGTCAGTTTTCTGAAGACACTGGCAAATTCACAGAGGGGTTTAATCATGTAACACAGACTTATTACCTGACATGGAGTGATTTACAGATTGTGTTCTCCTACTGCTGTACTGCAGGTGAAAAGTAGCACATAGAAGAAACTGCTAGAGCTTATGCTAGTGAACTAGCTTGTCATCATGCTCAGCATTGGATATATTGACTGGAGAGAGATGCAATTTCAGATCAGGACCCTAACTGGGTCTATCAAACTGGAACAGATAAAGGATGAGAGGGAAGGGACTGCCATACCCTTGTCTCCTAGAGAAGATGGAAAAATGTACCATTAATCTTGTTAATTATGACAAAATAGAAGAAGTTATTAAAAAAAATAAAAGGATAAAACCCCACTTTTTTTCCAGGGGTGATTAACAGAAGCTTTGTGAAAATGCACAAACATCAACCTCAACCTGCTGAGGGC